GAAGCCGCGCTGGGCGACCTGGCGCTGTCTTAATCCATCTAGGAGACCAGCCTGGGCCATCTGGAGCTCTCCTGGAGCTGCGCTGCGCCATCTGGCCGCTCGCGGAGCGCCCCGCCCAGACAGAGGGGGGCGCGTGGCAGGGGTGAACGTCTCCCCGAAGGGGGAGAAGCGGTTGGAAGAGGAAGCGCCCTTATCCGCCGGCGCCCTACGTTGCCATGCAAGCGACGACAGGTATCACTGCCGTTGTTTCTCCAGGCCGCAGAGGGAACGACGCTGCCAGGCAGGAGTTCACAATGGTAGCTAGAATGCGTTGTTTGAGGCAATTGTGGCCGCTCTGTTTCACGTGGGCGAGGGCACCCAGAGGCAGCCTCGCTCGCGGCCGCCCGCCAGATTGGAACCAAGATCGCGAGCGCCGGCGAGCGCTCTTCACGGCGATCGCAACAACAGCAGCGGCGCGAGGGAGGTCCCCTCAAAAAACGCCCGCAGTCGGAGGCCGGCGCGAGGGCGCTCGCGCGGGGGCCCCCGCAGTTGCGACGGCTAGATCAGAAGGTCGCAATGGAGACCTGCATCGGGCAGATCCACGGGGCCAAGGAAAAAGGCAGGAAGTCGGTGGTGGCAGCGCTATGCAGACGGGCCGTCACGCGAAGACGGGGCGGGCGTCGGCTGGCCCCCGCGCCGGAGTCGAAGGCGAAGCGGCCGCGCGTCTGGACCTTGCTTGGGCGGCCCCGCGGGGGCATGGGGGCTCGCGATGTCGATCGGGGGGCGCGGGGGCAGGGGCGCGTCGCCATCGCGGCGCGGCGGAGCCCGGCGGGCCGCGCGCCGCCCCTTCGCGGCAGAACTGGGCAACCGAGCGGCGCAGGACTTCGCTGACCTGCAGACCCGCCCCCAGAAACCGCTCCGATGGGGCCAGGGGGCCGTTGTCTTTCACGGCGGCATGAACTTGTCTTTGATTATTTCAAAGGCGGCGGCTTCGGCGCAGTGCCCCCCCATGATGGGTCGCGTCGGCGACGTTGCCCAGGGCGCGCCAGGTCGGGCGCTCGAGAAGCAGCCGGCGCCGCAGGCTCAGGGGCAGGGGGGCGCATCTTGTCAAGAACCGCGGGGGCGCGGGCGCGAGGGGCTGGCGGGCGGCCCGCAGTTCCCCGCTAAAGGCAAGGTTCACCACGCCACGCGCGCGCCTCACGCGCGCGGAGCAGGACTGCGGGGTCGCCCCAGGAGGATCGAGGAGGGAATGAGACGCCTCCGCGAACCAGGTCCGGACCTGGCGGATTCGGCGCGCAGGCCGGCGGCCGTGCGCTCGAGGCAATGACCAACGCGTTCGGCGTCGACGACGGGCCCGCCTTGGGTGAGCCAGTATAGAGCGCGGCGCGGCCGGAGCTGACTACGCCTTGCACCCGCGGTGCTTCGGGCGCTCGGCCGCCGCGGTCGGCGGCGGAGGGAGCGGGCCGCCGATGAAGGCGGGGGCTAGCGGCACCATGGGCGCCCCCTCCGCGGCAGAGGGCGCGGCGGGGAACTTTCGCGCGACGGGGGCTGGGCGGGCGCCGCGCGGGGGGGGGGGCGCCGCCGCCGAGTTGCCAGGGGGCGGCCGCCGAGGGCGCGGAGCGGGTTTTTATTTGTGCAGGCGCGCTGGCGGCCTGGATCGCGCTGCCTCGGCGGGCGAGGACTTGCGCTTCGGGTCGCGACGAGGCCGCTGCAGCGGGTCGCCGATCAGCCAGGCAGGGCCCTCCTCCACGCCAGCGTCAATTAGAGCAGGGGCGAGCAGGGGGCCCTGTTCTCGTTCGGAGATGCCGGGGGGTCTCGCCGCGAGGAAAAACAGGAAAGCCTGAGGGGCGAACGAAACGGGCTGCGCGCAGCTCGGGGCCGCGCGCGGCAGCTCCGCCGGCGCCATCGCCTCGAGGGGGCGGAGGCCCCGGGCGACCCGCCAGCAGCTATGCGCGGAGAGCTTCTGGTCGCCCGCCATCGATCTCCGCCCCGACGGCGTCTGACCTGCCGCCTCGGCCGCGCGATCGACGCCGCGCGTTCCGCGACGGGGAATGCTCGGGCCGCGCGATGCGCAGCCGGCGAATGTGGACAGGGCTGCAGGCCCCTGGCGGGCGTGAGTTCGCGGCTCGGCGACTTCGCCAGCATCTGGCGCGGGCTGGGGGGCCAAGGCACCGCGCGCGCATCCTCGTCGCCGCGGGCGGCAGCTTGCCGCGCAAAAGCGGCGGCGCAGAACCCATGATGGACGGCCGAATAACTGTCTGAGCCTTCACGACGCTGCTGACCCCGCGCCCGACGATACTATCTCGGAAAAAAGACGGCCGACCGCCCGGCGTGTCCTTTGCGGCTGGGGGGGGGGGGGGGGGGGCGATGGCTTCCCCTAAGTTCAATATCGCCGCCATTCACCGACGCGCGCGGCCGGCATCTTATTTGCGTTACGCTTGGCGTTCGAGACATTTTTGCAGATCCGATCATTGAAGTACCCGATGTGCTGTTCAAAAGCCGGCGATCTGCACGCGCCCAAATGTTCTCTTCAGGCGAAGTTGCTCGCCGCAGAGCGGCGGGCGAAACCGCGGCGCCTGCGCGGGCGAAGCCGGCCCCCAGGCCGGGCCGCGCCAGCCAGGATTGGAAGAATATCAAGACTAACGGCAAGCAGGAGCTCCAGCGCAGGCCGCCCGCGACCATCGCCAAGCTCCCCCCCCGGCGAGGCGCGCCAGAACGCCGCGGCGAGGTACCCCTGTCTTCTTCGACGCGTACTTCACCCGTGAAGTGGGCGATTCGCACGGAGCGCCGCGTGACGCCGTCGGCCAGGCGCACAACTGAGAGCCAGCCAGCGTCAAGGAGCGCCAGCGGCCCACGCCGCATCCGGATTGTCGCGCGCGCGCTGATCCGCGCCATCGCGCGCGACAAACCAAAGGGGGGCGCGCGTCGTAATGGGTGCGCCGCACTTCCAGCGCGCGGAGATCAAGAGGGGCCGCGGCAAAGGCCGCCTGGGCGTGTTCGCGGGCACGCGGAGGCCAACCGCAGCCGCGATGCGGCCACTGCTGGAGCAGTGCTTGACTAGGGGAACAAAAAGTGGAATAAACATAAAAACTCGGAGCTCCGCGCGGATTTCTCGGATCGGCGCTGGGGCCCCCCGGCGCCGCCTCCGGCGCCGCCCCTGGCGCGCTCCGCGCGCCAGGGAGGGGGGTCCAGCGCCGATCCGAGAAATCCGCGCGGACCTCCGAGTTGTTATGTTTATGCCACTTTTTGTTTTCCTGTTGACGCAGGCCGAGGGGGGGGGAGAGGATGCCAGGAACGGCACATCGGGGCCGGCTGGAAGGCGAAGCGAGCCACATGATCAACCAGCTGCTGCGTTGCGGACGAGTGGGCGCTCGGCTCCGGGCCCTTGTCGAGCGGGGGGTGTTCTCGGCGAGCGTTCTTGCACACGGGCATTCAAATTCCAAATTTTTCCAACATCGCCTGTTCATTGTTTTGTTTTCGCGTTTTTGGAACCGCCAACGCAAACAAAAAACAACAAAAAAAACAAACAACAAAAAACGCGCTGCTGGAGGGATGGGTCGGAGCGGCGCTAAGGGTCTGAGCCCGGAGTTCTGAGGGCAGCGTGCCGCGCACGCCGGGCATGATGAATATTGGGCACTGCCCAAGAGGACGCGGGAAGGAATGTGATACAAAGTGACGCCGCGCTGCGCGGCCGAAGTGCCGCAGAATGCAGGCAGCCAGCGGCGCGCCGCGCTTTAGATGTGTCGTCAGATCTGCTCGGGCCCTCCCTGTCGCCACCTGCGGGCCCGAATGGAGGGAGGGCCGCGTGTCGGGGCCGCGGGCGCGGGATGCGGGGAGGAAGGGATGGACATGCTCGAATGTGCATCCTCCCCTTTGCTTGGCATTGCTTGGGCGTGCGCAGTTTTTGCCAGCGAGGGCCATCGAGGGGGCAGCATGGATCCTCAGGGAAGAAAGCGCGCGCGAAACCGAAACACGCACGGGGGACTCTCGCCCAATCGATGGCAAGTCTAGTCCCTGTCGCTGCAGGGGCGGGCGGTGCACTGCCCGCGGGGGGCTGGGCGGGGAACCGCGGGTCTCTGCCCGACGGGGGAATCGCCCCACATCGGAAGTTTCCTGGACGCCACCGAGCTGCGACGCTCAGCAGCGGTCCGCGATGAGACGAGCTTGCACCTGAAATCCTCCTCCTCTTCCCCCTCTTCCTCCGCATCCTCTCTCATCATCTCGCCTCCTCCTCCTCCTCCTCCTCCTCCTCCTCCTCCTCCTCCTCCTTCTTCGGCCTCGTCCTGTCACTGTTCGGCCTTCCCTCCTCCGTCGGCCTCCCCCCCTCTCCCCCCTCCCCCCTCGAAAGGTCGGGTCCTCCCTGGCCACCGTGGCGTTCTCGGCGACCGCCAAGACCCTCACCGTCGCGCGCCTCCTGCGGCTCTTCCGCTTCACCAGAATCTTCCGGGCCCGCCCCCTCGCGGCCGCGACTCACATGGGGGCTTTGGCGACGCCGTCGTAGGTTCGGAGTTTCTTCCTGGCGCTCTCACAGGCTCTCGTCGCCACGACCGGATCAGTTTCAGGAGGGAAAGAAACACAGACATAATTAATCGGCGATCCCCCGGAACATATGGGGAATTATGGGCAGTGGAGGGGAAGACAGGAACCCCAAAAATATGGAACAATATGGGGCATCTTTTCTATTTGTGTGTACTTATTTGTGTGTCTCGGGGCCCCTTCACAGTTCCGGAGCCTCTCTCGGGCGCTTTTTGGGAGGTGCTCGTCGCCACGAGGGGACGCACAGCTCGGCGAACGGGCCACGTGGGCCAGGAGGGGAGCAGGAGGAGGAGGAGGAGGAGGAGGAGGAGGAGGAGGAGGAGGAGGAGGAGGAGGAGAGGAGAACGAGGAGAACGAGGAGGAGGAGGCGGAGGAGGAGGAGGAGGAGGAGGAGGAGGAGGCCCCGGGAGCGGCCCCGGGGAGGCGTGGAGGGGGCTTCCCATGGTGGGGGGCGGCAAAGAGGGGGGTGGTGACCAGGGGGGGTGGATATCATGGCGTGGGCCGTGATATCTCCCCAGATCTCATGGCGCCCCTTCTTATTCCATCACGTCCCTGGACCCCCCGCTGGGCCGCGCACGTGCCGCCGGCGCCTGGCCCCCCCGCTGGACACTTCGCTCGGGAGCTCCCGAGCGAAGCGAACCCCACCCTCCCCTTCAGAAGTCGTGCGGGGCAGGGGTAGGGTTTGCGTGTGGCCCCCTAAAGGGACCCCCCGAGGTCGCGTGTGCCATGGCGTGGGCCATGATCTCTCCCCAGATCTCATGGCGCCCCTTCTTACTCCATCACGTCCCTGGCCCTCCCGCTGGGCCGCGCACGTGCCGCCGGCCATGATTTGCACCCCCCCCTCTTGGACACCCCCCTCTTGGCCGGCTCCCGAGGAGACGCGGAGCGGGCTTCCCAGGAACCCCCCGACGTCGCGTGTTTTGTTTTTTCCGCACAGCGTCGGCCCCCACGGGGCTGGGCACCTGCCCCCGCTGGGAGATGGGTCGCTTTTGTTTGCGGCCCCGAGGCTCGTCCAGGCCTCCTGGTCCTCCTCCTCCTCCTCCTCCTCCTCCTCCTCCTCCCCCTCCTCCTCCTCCTCCTCCTGGCTCAAGCTGTCCTCTCAGGATTCTCAAGAGTAACTGCCCGAATTTCCGCCCTCAGTTTTAACCCCGATTTCCTTTTACATCTCTCTACACATCTTGTGCCAAGCATCATGAAAAAGGGCGCTCAATCGAGCAACTCTCCCGAAGATCACAAGAAGGCAAAAGTCGAGCCCAAACCGGACAGAGTTGAGGAAATGTTTGCGGAGCTCAAGAGCCTGATGGGAGGCCTCAGCACGAAGGTTGATGCAAGCCTTGCCATCGCCCAGGAAGCGAAGACCGAAGCGGTATCCGCGAAGCAGGCTGCCCTCGAGACGACGCTGACCATAGCCAGCCTAGAGGACAAGATCAACAAGACCAACGAGACTGTGGCCACAGTGCAGAAGGAGGTCGAGGACATACAGCGTGCAAAAACCACCATCCGCAGGAACCACAAGGAGCCGGACTCCGACATCAGGGACAAGCAGGTGCTCGCGTTAGGTTTCAAGGAGCGTATGGAACCGGACATTATCATCGCCAAGATCGAGGCGATACTCACCGAAGTGTTGGGCGACAGCCACACCGCCAAGGTGGAAGCCGGCGGAAATCGTGCGAAGATGGGGATCATCACATTCGAGGACGCATCTCACAAAATCGACTTTTACAAGAAAATGGAACCGATCAAAGATAAAGAACACGTGAAGCCCATTTTCTTTCGGAACAACTCCACAACGGAAGAAAGGACTAATGACAAGCTACTTGGCTACACCAAGTTCCACCTCACCCGCAAGGGCCACGTCAAGGATGAGGACATCAAGATCGTCTGGCGGAAGAACCTGGTGGAGGTTCACGGCCGGAAGGTGGCCTGGATCGATGAGTTCGGGGTCTGGCGCACTACGGGAACAGCCAAGAAGGTTGAGCAGGACGTGAGGGCGTCCATGGACACATGGAGGAAAAAGGTGGACCCCGACCCGGCGACCGAGTCTGAGTGAAGGGATGCCCCTCCCTCCCGGGAACATGGGGCTAATACGACCCACAATTTTGAGTTTCACCCGCCATCCAGAATTCATTTACATAGGCATTCGATTTTTCCATTCCCTGTCCCCCTCTCTCCAAATGGAGTTCAGACGAATCTTCCCAGGAACACTGAGACTTTTGAGTGTGCCCTGCAGGACGAATCCGATAATTTACTTTTTAATCCCCCCTCTCAAGGAAGTCAGCTCTCAGGACCTACATCGTCAAGGCCAGCATCGCGACCACCTTCGACGACAATGCCGGCGCGCAGCACAGGCGGTGGCAGAAAGGGCTTTGCACATGCAGACGGCGACGTGCCTTTGAGCATTTTCACAACACAGCACACTCCACTGCCGAATAGCACTGACCGCCACAACCAGCAGCAGCACCGTCGACCAGCAGCGACCGACTACCACGAGCAACCACACACAGCAAACCTCGACCGCAACCAACCAGCACAACCAACAACACTGACCACCGACCAACAATACCAGCAACACTTAACCAAACCACCACCACCGACCAGCACCGACCACCAGCGCCATCCACTGCCGAATAGCACTGACCCCCACAACCAGCAGCAGCACCATCGACCAGCAGCGACCGACTACCACGAGCAACCACACACAGCAAACCTCGACCTCAGCCAACCAGCACAACCAACAACACTGACCACCGACCAACAATACCAGCAACACTTGACCAAACCACCACCACCGACCAGCACCGACCACCAGCGCCAGCAGTGGCACCGACTAACACCAGCAAGTTCACACCATCCAGCTCTGACCAACAACGACGAGCAAACAACAACGCAACCGACTCCAGACCAGCACCACCAGCAACACACACCCAATCAACCGCAGACCACACTCACCCAACAACAAGACAGCCGACTAGCAGCGACAAGCCAACACCAAACAATCCAGACCAGCGCCGACCACGACCAACCAGCAGCACCAACGAAAATGACACCGACCACTGACGAGCACCAACAGCACATATTCATAACGATTATTCACAAAAATGCCCGGGCACTTACGACAGACGACCGGGTCAGCGAACTCATCGCAGAGCTCGACAACTGCCATTGGGATTTTGTGCTCATCAACGAGACAGAGGACGACTACGACGGAACTATGGACAACCGTGGAAGGGCATACGTTTGCTGGATCTGGCAATGACCAGGCGTGCCACGGAGTTGCTATTCTTATACACAAGCGTTGGGGAAAGAGCATACAGAGATTTGAAGCCCACTCGCCAAGACTCGCCACGATGCTGTTGAAAAGCGGGCGGTTGAAATTACAATTGGTGGCCGCATATTTTCCACACTCTGGGTACAGCGACCCGCACATTCAGCGCATGTACGACGCGATCCACGAGATTCACAGAGAAAACACCAAAGCACGACGTCATATTATACTCGCTGGCGACTTCAACGCGCAGGTTGGGGAATCCCGTATATCAGTAGATGGCGACGACGACGACCTCATCACTTCCAGGTGTGTCGGCCGCCACGGATATGGAATCGAAAACTCGAGGGGTACATGGTTGCGACACTGGGCTGCCCAAGAAGGGCTTGTGCTTGCCAATACGTTTTTCCGAAAGCCTATACATAAGCAGATCACTTACATCAGCGGCGACAAGCAGAAACAGCTCGACTACATCTTGCTCAACCGCAAGCTCTTCAAGCATTGCACTAATGCCGAGGCCAACAACGTGACCGACCTGGGATCCGACCACAAGGCTGTCGTCACTGAGTTGAAGATACCAGAAGCAATGGTAACAAACGACAGCGACGAGACGACGACCAACGGCAGCGCAGACATGCACCACCCAACGCTTCCACCGGCAAGATCATCAATGTGAACGTCTACCACGACCACCAAAGACGACGACTGAAACCAGACGAACTACCAATCGACCCACAATCCCTGGACGAGCACATCCAGCAAGTTCTCATCGACGCCGCCGCCGTGAGCAGCGCTGGAGCACCACGACCAGACCGACAACCAGACAGAGGAGCAGAACGTCTACGCCCTCTCATCGCACAGCGACACCAGACACCAAACAACGACCACCGCACCCGCAAACAACTGAGCAAACTGATACAGCAGGAGATCCGCGCGCAGAAGCGGCGGACACGACGGGCCCACATAGGAAGCGTGCTCGAACAGTTCAGAGACCTCAAAAGTATCCCGCGCATCAAGACACGCAGAAAGCGGAATCTCATCACTCACATGACAGACAAAGGAGGCTCAAAACGCACGGCCCGGCAAGAAATTGCAGACATATTCGCGGAGTTTTACGAGCAGCTATACGACACAACGGCCAAGCCGACGCAACGAGAGCGACGCAGCGACGACCTTCCACCCTTCACTGGCGAAGAGTTGGAAAAGGCGATTAGAGGGCTCCGGCTTGGTAAGGCTCCAGACACCAAAGGCCTACGAGCAGAAATGTTGAAGGACGGCACGGAAGAATTGCACGGCGCACTTCTCCACCTCTACAACGCGATCATCCAGTCCGACGCTCCGCCGCCGACCAGCTGGAAGAGCACTGTCGTCACGGTCATTCCCAAGAGTGGGGATCTAACGCTTCCGCAAAACTATCGGCCCATATGCACAATACCATTGCTTTACAAGCTTTTCAGCAGACTTCTCTACAACCGACTCCAACCAACACTTGACTCCCGACAAACTGCAGACCAGGCCGGCTTCAGGCCAGGACACTCAACCACCGACCACTTATTCGCTTTCCATATTCTCCGTGAGCGCGCGCACGAATGGAACCAGAACTTGTGGGTAGCGGCGCTAGACTTCAAAAAAGCTTTTGACACCGT